AATTGGTTCCTAATGTAAGACCATCTTCAAGTATTCCTGAGAGATGAGCCTTTCACTCTGCTCCAATCCAACCAGTGCCTGGTTTACTTCTTCTAATAGTAGAACCATTTATCAACTGTAAATAAAAACATTAAATCACATTTGATCAATCAAATTTAGCAGAAATTAAACAATCTGGACATTTACAGAAATATGTTTTGAAATATTACCTGACGAAGGGATAGGTTCTTCCTTTCCACAAGGACATGTCTAAAAATAGAGTGAAACATCCGTTATAAAATGATAATCAAGAAGGAATGAGGCCTGGTGTTGAGATTTCATATGTTGCATAAAAGGATGAACAAAATCTTACTTCACCAACAGCAGCTTTGGCCTCTTCTACTGAGCAGCAGAAAGGGCTGTCACCGGCCGACACACACGTGTTTTTGCTGTATTGTGTGATAAGACACAGTCACTTTTAGTCAAGAAGCCATAAATGTGTATATTTCAGGGTACACTCGTTCTTAAAGCAACTTTATGTTGAGCTGTAGTCAAAGCAGTTAAGAGGGTTTACCATTTCAGTTCACCGGCATTGGCCTTTTGGGAAATGAGGGCTTTCCAGAAGTTGTGGGTGCTCTTGATCACTTCAATGGCAAAGTCCTGAAACACAAAAAAACAGTAAGTGCTTAGCTGAAAGTAAGTTTTTTACAGTTAACTATAACATGTGTATATAATTCTAGTTCCAGTGAAGGTTTCAATGATTTGCACAAAGTTTGACAAAGGCGGAAACTGCATTTCATTGTTTGACAGGGAGCACGGAAACTCTGAAAAAACATCTGTCATAGTACAATGACTAAGCAGAGTGTGTTGCATACACACCTTGTCTTTAAACTCATCATTGAAAGCGAAGCGGTTCTCTGGTTTCCCATCTGGCACTTTGTACCTCCTGAACCAGTCGACCGTGGCCTCCAGATAACCAGGCTTCAGGCGCTGGACATCACTGATGTCTAAACACGGACAACAAAACGAGTTCAGTACGACCGATGCAGGGCGGCTCACAAACACAGACAAGCGAAAACAAAGAGCGACTTTAATAAATTGAGGCGCTTACTGTTCAAGTCGTTGGCTTCAGGGTCCTCTACATTGATTGCAATCACTTTCCAATCAGTCTCACCCTCATCGATCATGGCCAGGACCCCGAGCACTTTCACTTTGATTACCTCTCCGCGGGAACACACCTTAGGAGGACATTTCAGTTTGCAGTTATTTTTCTGTTGTCATCAGCAGCAGCAGCATCCTTATTTCCATGAAATTACTGTACACGACAAATAATGAAATCGATAATCACTGTGACTTAATGACCTCGTGAAAGATGAACAACAAGGCTGCAAAATCATCAGCCGGTGTTGTACCTTACTGCCGATTTCACAGACATCAATGGGGTCGTTGTCACCGCAGCAGCCAGTGTCTCCATCTTTGTGCGCGGGATCTTCCCATGTCTGACACACCACAAAACAAAGCACACAAGCTGAATTAAGACAGAATGCAACGGTTGCACGTATTAAGTAAAACTACTAAACATTTACATTTTAAACACTGCAGGATAAGAATTCTTTCAAACAAAAAACTAACCTGAGGAATGGCTCCATAGTTCCATATGTAACCCTTATGAGGGAAAACATTGGCAACATATCGCAACTTGCCCTTCTTCACGTCTTGCTTTATTGGGTTCAAGAGGTCTTTTGTAGCGATCTGAAAATAAATTGTATGGCATATTGATACTTTTAAAGACATGTTTAGTGTTAAAAAGTACAATTCATTCATGTTGAAGGCCATTCATGATGCCTTATTACAACAGAGGAACTTAATTTGATCCCAGACACAATAAAATGATTTGCTTGACTAAAAAAAAAAAGGTAGAAATGGTGAATCGCAACTTTTATTCTTGTTTGAAAAGGTCCAGTGTGTAGGATTTAGTGGCATCTAGTGGCATCTAGCAGTGAAATTGTGTTGGGAGGTTAGTGGGAGATAATTTGAGACACATACCTCCATCTTTGCATTTGTCCATCTTGGTACCTCAACCACCATGTGAAAGATATTCTGCAAGAGACAAGAATCCGACATAGTTATCTTTAAATTATTCATCGGCAGTATACGACACAACAACAACACATAATCCTTAATAATACATTCTGGCTTTTACTAGTTAGTTATTGCTTCGGTCAAATGGGAGTAAGATTAATTGTTTCAGATAGATAAGATAAAAGATAATGTATTGCAATCACAGGAGATATTGACACAGCACTTAGAAAATAAAGAGTAAAGGCCATTGCCTTCACAAATAGACTATGACCTTTGCTATTTCGGAGAGCTTTACTTAAAACATTTCGATGCCTGTAATCTACAAAACATATTCAGAGCAGCGCTGTAGCTGGCATTTTAACCAGTGGGTTGATTTAAAGGGTACACATACAGAACATTTACATATGTAATGGGATAACCGTGACCTTACCTGACTCTCATCAGCATATATTGGTATGTCATGGAATGGTGAGATGTACTTTCCTTCAGCATTTTCTGTAAGGCAGTCAGATTTAACACTGTATGAATATGGCAGGCAGATACAAGCTGCTTTTGTCTGTCTTATGTCAACAACTGAGTGGTCCTACAGCAGGGGAATGAATGTCGGATTGGATGGATTGCCAAGAGAGTACACAGGCTTCATTACTGCTTAAGTTTAACTTCTGGCTGAAGGTGTGTCAATAGGTTGTTTGGTGGTCTCGAGGGGAAAAAAAAAAAACACACCCACACCAATTTCTGTTGATGCATTTTTGACTGTATAGCAAGAATTATGAGAAACATTAAATTTCTCGTGGCCTCTGCCCTGAGACATACAGTCATAGAACCATTAACTTGCTCCCCACTAGGCCAGGGGTCAGCAACCTTAGGCACGCATGCCACCACTGGCACATGATAGCATACCCAATGGCACACACACAAGAAGAAGAGTGTTTTTTGTGCTCTCTCATCCGCATACCAAATCTTTCACAGCCATTGGCAGTCACACTACCTCATGGCTGCATATATTATTTTAACTCATATGTGGATATTTCATAAGGATGGCAGCCTTCTTGTATAGTGTATATAAGTACAATGTCCCGTTTATGGGAGAAAAATATTGTTGTTTTAAATGTTGCTATTCGCATTGCCTATATAGATGGAATACAACAAAATGACAGACCTGTTGGACATTTAAATTTGTATGTGGTGTCGTAATTAAACGTAATGCTAATCTTAATGTTGATATGGCACAGAACATTTAAACAACCCTTGTACCAAGCATTAAAGCCACTGCGTACTTATTACTACATAACCAATTTTGCCTTATTTTACACATTACAAAATTATTGTAACGGCCATGGTCTGCATTCAGAGACCTTGAGTCTTGCATTTTGATGATGACGACAGTAACTTGGCTTGAATTTGTCCCTAAAAATCAATGAGCTTTAACTATGAGGGAGCTACAGGAACTTATAATCTACAGCTACAGCACAGAGAGCACTTTGTCCCACAGCTTAACAACACGCAGCCTTGTCCTATAACTAGCACATCAATGGATCTATTAACGCATTATAATCACAGAGGGCGTTGTCCAACCAACCCAAAGCCTTTATGGGTTTATATGCTGGGTGACGTGTTAGAGCACCTTGCGAGATTTCCCTAAATGACCAACGTCCTTCTACGAAATCCAGGCAAGAATAAAGGTGTACGGTTGGGGAGGATGACACACAGATTGTCAGAAATCAAACCACCTCACTTAGGATCCGTGTTACTTGGTAACAAAAAACAAAAACCGGCGCAACTAGCTGACGCAACTTTGAATGACTCAACCCGAGCCCTTACTGCTATTCAAACTACGGCGGATTGGCTTGTAGTTTCCAATTCAAGAACATTGCTCAACGTTACATGATACAATGAAACAACCCGGCGACCATAAATGAATAAGTGACACGTGGGAAGTTGCAGTCGGCCTGTGGGGGTCTGTGGAGAGAGCTCAAAAGTAGCAAACAATGACAAAACTGTATCATTTCTACTCGGTTTCTACTCACTGAAGAACAAGCGGTAGTTCAGGGAGTTCAGGTCCCCCCTCTCTTCCACCGTGAAGCTCATGTTTCGCGCAGGTTTGTGTTGCTGTCTGGCTCTGGGATGGAGGATGGCGGCGGAAGGAAAACGTCTGTGCTAGTGTGTAGACAGAGAGAGGCCATAGCGCATGCGCACTTTGATACAGATGCCTTAAACGCCTGTCGGAAATGTCGAACTTCACATGTGAAAAACAAATACCATCTAAGATTTTAATGAATTTCAGCGTGCAAAAGACGATAATAATACCTCTACCATAACTAGCTGCAACATTGAAGTGATGTAGGCAAAATGCATCAATAATTATTGTTCAGTAACATAATATATATTATTCTGAATAATAATACTTTTGTATTTTTACTTTCATTTTAAATCCATGACTTATACATGTAACGTTAAAAGAGTATTTTCTGCATTGATTCATTCTAAAACACAGTCTTGAACAACAAAATACAAGTTGTAGTCCCTTACCAAGAAACTTCTACTCAAGTAAAATATCTTCTTTCACTCCTGATGAAAACAGAACTGAAGAACATGATGCCTGGTATAATGGTTATCAAAGTATTAAAGGCTCTATTGGTGTTAACTGATACAGTCTTCTGAAAATATGAGTGAAATGATCAGTTAAAGCCTCTGCCTACTCGGCCATCATATGTTTTTCCTCACAGACTACATCACCCAGCCCAATCTTTAAATAAAATGTTGCATGAAACTACAAATAATTTAAAAGCACTCCCATACCTGTGCAATATTTATTTATTTATTTGCGGGAAGTGACAGTTTTTTATTTCTAGACTATATCACTAAAGCTTTGAATAATTACAACATATATGCCCCCGACTTAAGACTACAAACAATGCACTGGGCAGAATACTGAATTTATTAATAACACAGGAGTGACAACATTGTCTCTTCCCATTACAAAAGCTCCACAATGCCTGTGTGTCCATTGAAATGCAGGATGTGTGTGCCATCCCTGCAGGGTGCCTCAGTGGTCCAGAACAGACTCCTGTAACAGGGTGAATACTTTGTTTGCATAAGTCTTAAATACCTTAAATAAATAACCAGTAATTGTACAAATAAACTTCATCTCATATTATATGGCTTCTGCCTTTGCATCAGATCAAAGTGACTTATAATTATAGGTTTATAGACTCACTGCATGTCAGGAACATTAGTGAATGGACCAAAAACATTCTGAGCATTTGTACACAAAAAACACAATTGTTTGCATATAACAAGGTTCAGAGAAATGTGCCTAAAACTATCTTGATCTGGTCTGGTCAAAAAGTTTAAACTAGTGTTTGCTCTTTAAATTGCAAATATGAGAATTTGGATCCTAATCTTGAATCTAAAATATTCTTGTAAATTGTTTTCATCTACAAATCTGGAAATGTTGTCAATAATTTAGTAGTTTCAGTCTCGATAAGACTTGTCGCCCTGAAATATATAGATCATACTTGTTGTTAAATTCCTTCTTCTTTCGTGTGTCATCACCTCAAATAAGTGAGGTGTGCAAGATGTGAGGGCCTGCAGTAACATTATATAGTTAGTCTGGATTTTGTCCCTTTTACATGAGGAAAAAAATGACGAGAAACACTTAAATGCAGAATCAAACCAGTGGGCTTTATTTGAGCTTCTTGCCAGCAAGGCTACATTTAGGAACCCCAAAAAAGTATAAATACACAAATATATTTCAATAATTATGTCCCTTTGTTTTCTATTAGTTCTTGCAAATTCAACATGCTTGCTTTAAAACCTTCTGTTATGGCAGCACTGACAATTTAAAGTTTGGCAAAGGCTGACAGGAACATTTAGGTTTAATATGAGGCAAATCACTCATGTTGTGAAAGATTTAGGTCTCATGGACAGATTGAGTTCAAATGAATGAAAACTCTGACCAGATCCACTGTAACACATGTGACTTCAGTTTGTTCTCCACCAGCCTGCAGAATGTGCAAACAAAAAAAACACTCCAGACACAAATCCAGATATGTTTCTCAAAGCATTAAAAAAAAAAGTAGGATGGCACCATTTGCTGATGCTCCACACCGCTGACTTCATATCCGCCCGCAGCCTGTCGTGCTTCCTGCCTTGGCGAGGGAGGGGACGGTGCTGACGGCTGGGAGGACGAGAGGAAAGACAAGAAAGCTTTTGGGGAAGATAAAAGAGAGTGGGAAACGGCCCTGGTTTCCACCGTCCGTCGGGAAAAAAACACCACAGTTTTCTGTAGCTGCTTCATTTGTCACCGAATCGGCGCTGAAAAATGTCGGCCAGTCGTCAGCTTAGCGAGAGCAGGGCCATCCCGACCAGGACGGTGTTGATCAACGACACAACGCAGCTACCTCATGATTATTGCACCACCCCTGGAGGCACTTTATTCTCTACCACTCCTGGAGGTAAGAGGGGGCTGTCTCGTCTGCGTTATCGTACTTTGCAAGGAAATGGAGGGGGTCGTTGGTTTTCTGGGCTGTTTGTGCGCTCACCAGCCCTTCAACTGTGCACGTCTCTGTGGCCTAGGCTGCCTTGTCATCCCGTTCAAAACAAAAACAAAGCTTAGCCCCGCCCCCGCGCTCTCTAGCTGCTCACTGATTGGCTGGTGTGCTGCGCAGAGATTCTGGTATTAGTTCTTATATTTGAATAAGATAAAGACATACCCATGACAAAAAAAATTAATGTGAGAACCTGTGGTTTGAATCAAATACTGTACATATCCTATTGTTAGGTAGGATTGCTATGATTTATTTCAGTCCACATAAGGGTATTCAAAATAAGGAAGTACAATAAATCTAGCAAGGATACTGTACACATATCACTGTGTTGCTGACATGCCTTATATTTGTACAGAAACTGCATAGGTATGCTATAGAGTCTTTCTATCAAGGGATTTCGTTTGCTGGTTTTATTGATTTATCATCTTGCCTATAAAAGGTCAGAAAATCGTGGGAAATTCCAAGAAAGTCCAAGGCGAGTTCTTCAAATGTCATGTTTTGTCCAAACAGACCAAACCCATTTAGTTAACATATTTAGTTATAATCATATAAAGCAGAGAGAAGCAGCACGTTCGAGCAGCTGGAGACAAAAACTATAGATATAGATTTGCCCATAGATTTTCTATGAACTAATCAATTAATCAACCAATCAATCCAATTAAAATACACGTGTAGTTTGAGACTATTAGGATAAGTATTATTTAAAGCTGTAGTTTCCAAACTGGGTGTATAGAGCCATTGTGGAGGGCACAAATAACCAGAGAAAAACTATGATGTGAAACTAGAGTTGAACAGCCTTCTTTTTTTCCAGCAGACGTTTTAGACCTGAACGCAGGTGTCACTGATCAAATTAATTGCTGCGTTGCATTGCAGTCATTTTGGGACTGAGCCATCGTTATTGTTACTAGTTCCACCTGCGCTTTTCTGTCGTGACAAGTCAAAATGGTCTGCTGTGAAAAAGGTCAGTGAAATGTGATTAATGTGGGAACAATAAATAAAGCAGAGTGCTGCGATGCCAGCAATGCCAGCAATGCCATCGAGATTGAGGTTAATCAGATTTATTCAGAAAGCAAACAGCATGTGGAGCACCAGAAAAGGAAAAACTCATGAAGCAAAGTTGTCAGTTAAAGCCATACCATGAATCTTGCTCTCACTATCCCTTGTGCGTATAAACTGTGGCAGTTGGAGAGGTATTTAACTTGGGCATGAGGAACATCTTTATTGGGACTGGAAGCCCTGCATCTATCACAGAACAGACTGTAATAATAAGTGGTAAAAGTGAAAAACACTTGTGTAAGAAGGTTAAATGCTTGTAGACATGGTTGCTTCAGGGCCATCTGGGTGAAAGCCAGTCTTCTGAGTCACAACACGTTCTGATAGCGCCTACATTTCTCCTAAAAGGAGCGTGAATAACTGAAACTTTGTTGCAGGAACCCGGATCATCTATGACCGTAAGTTCCTACTGGACCGGCGCAATTCTCCCATTGCCCAGACTCCCCCAGCTCACCTGCCCATCATCCCTGGAGTGACCAGCCAAAATGTCCTGAGAGAGAACAAGAAGAATGAAGCCAACAACCACATCAACAACCACGATGGCAAGCCCACAAACGGTAAGAGTTAATATAAGTATTGCGTAACCGACTGATGTAATAGGATGTGTTTTTATTCGTGTTGTTACCGAAAACATTTGACAAAACACACACCCTCTGTGGTTATAACCATTACGATAAAACCTGTTCCTGACATGTCTCAACACCTAGCTGTCTTTTTGTTTTCAAGGTGATGATGCTCAGTTTGAAATGGACATCTAACAGACTGGAACCACACCAGCAAAAAAGCAAATGACCTGGCATCACACGTGCCAGTGGCTTGGCTTGTAGAAACCAATGTTGTGAGCCCTCATGGCAGCCATCTTCTTTAGCTCTCTGTCTCGCTGCTGGATGTAATGTGTGTAAACCATGGGGATTCGGTGTATCATACATACAGGTACAGTGTGGCCAACTCCTGGAAACTAGGTTTATTTTGTGTAGATTTCCATGTTCACCAGTTGCTGTACAAATCAACAACCACACAGCAAGGGTGCAGGCCTCAATATTATGTACCCAGACACATTGTCCAGTGCTCATCTTACAGCTTTCTGTGAGTCAGGATCTTAAACAGAGCACACTTTAAAACTGATCATATTCCAAGTTAATTGGGGGAGGAAGTGGTCATTTTTAGTACCGGCCTTAGAATCAGTCAAAAGCTTTGATATTCATCACAGTCTTTGGTTTTGAAGACCCTTGTTAAGCATGTTATTTAAGTGATTTTTATTTCTCTTTTGGAACTACTTGAAAAGCTCCGCAATCTATCAGTTGTTTGGTCTGTTTTTAGTTTCCTGTGATGGTATGTAAAGGGATGCTGTGTTTTTATTTTGCAAATTAGGTGAAGAGTTTCATGCCATTCCAAGACTTCCATCACCAACACAAGCCTGTGTGAGTTTCCAATTTTCAGGGGAAAACAATTTTTTCAGGCCATGATTTAATTGTAATGATTGTATTTCCCACGCTTATGTAAAGCTAATTATAAATCAGGCTATTGAAAACAAGCTTTTAATTTAGAATTACATTTCAGTATAGTATAAAAATGTCAAACTACTCCATTCATCACTGTCGTGACCTTGCTGTAAATCTTTTTACACATTTCTCTCCTGCCAAGGAAAGTTAAGAGACTTTTTTTTTTTTTTTTTTCTCCAGATTTGATGGTTAGTTTGACTTAACTGGTTTATTGCGTTGGCAAAAGCTTTGCGTTCATAATTTAAAGAAAGAAAAGGCAACATCTGTCAGGTATTTTTGAATATCCAGACCAGATTTAGATTAATGTGGAAATATCCCAATTGTGTATTTGGGTAAAATACAAGAAGATTTTTGAAAAATCAACCAGATGTTTTATATGCATTTTATTTTTTACTACAGTTTCTTAGTATTGAGGGTATTTTTTGGGGTATGAGCACTGTCAAGCCTTTGGATTTGTTACAAGTGTCAAAGAACCAGAAGGCTTTGTTTGCATCCGGCTTGATAGATGCTGTCCCTTAATTTACAAATCTGTCCCCAGTGTCCTTATTCCACTTTACATTACCTTCATTTCATGGATCATGTCTGCCCATGCCTTACTTTACATCAGATGCAGTAACTAAAACAACGTTCCTTGTCATCAATTTGTACTTTCCAACAGATGTTTATTTTTTCACTGTAACATTGAACAGGTGACATTGTACTTAGCAACTGAGCAACACAAGAAATGTTTTTGGGTTTTTTTCTAAATAATTACTTCCTCAAGCAGCTGTGAAGTTTGAAAGTGTGATGGCATACATGTCATTGTGGGATTCTGAAGTTTAGATGGCCGTGTGGTTAAAGGAACGCCACATGCTCATTTAGTCCCAATAATTCGGTGGGGTTTTTATTTTATTTTTTTGTTACACCACAGTCATAGTTTTGTCTGCTAATTGTACTCTTTCCAAATAGCAGCTCTGAACTTGGCAAATAAACCCCCATTAAGTTCCTGTTTTTCATTCAAAATTCATTCATAAGTTTCTCCGTATGACTGGAATCACTGAATGGCTGAAATGATGTCTATCAAAGATTTTAGTTTTTCTTTTTGGCTTTGTGATTAATTCAGGCCATGTTTGGTGACGAACACATCGAGGGGGTTTCCTCGAACCCACTTTTGCATTGCACATTTTTGGCGATAAAAACTCTTTATATTACGGCATCATAATTCAGATTGCCGATTTATTTCAAATCAGTTTGGTTTGACAATGAGGGCTTAACATTGTGTGTTGAAAGAGATTTGAAACAAACAAACTTACTGTAACTTTCTGTTCTGATTTTAAATAACTTTATTTTAAATGAAACTCCGATGCCAGTGGACACTATTGCTGCAAGATCAATAAAGTTCCGTAACAAAGAAAATGAGCTGTTGTGTTTTTAATGGCCATTATTCTCACTCAGTAAGGAGCCTGTGTTTTTACCACGATCCTAGTCTCAGTGACACTGATTCATGCTGTGCCAAAGTGGAGCCCTCTTTCCACATCTGAAATGTCACATCCCAACTACTCATTAACAAACTAAAAATAAAACCTTTTGTAAGCGTTTTGTGTTATTTCGCCTACTCACATTCATGAGACTCTGCATGTTTTCAGACAGCTACCTGTTAATATCCCTTGTACAAACATATGCATGTGAATTAGTAAATGCTGTCTATGAAGAAAGGCAATGCATGGGAAATGATGCTAGGTAAGGTGATTATACATAATGACCCACTGTCCTCTAAAGTATTGATAAAATATTCATATTCTTTGTGTGTACATCCAAGCCTCGATTCCCAGTTGGGCAAAGAAGGCAACATGTCCCCCGAGTCCAAAAAGGGCTTCAAAACAACATCCCTAAACAACATACATTAAGTATATCTATAGCTGGCCAACTGCTACCTGAAAACCTTGGGGCCAGGGTTTATAGATGTGTCTGTGGACCCCCTCCCCAAACAGGTTGTGTGCATGTTCAACAAACAATGGCAAACAAATGGATTTTGTATCTATTCATACCTGCAATGTGCTTCTTATATGTTTGTATAATATAATATTGTGGTTCCTAACATCTCAATGGCACTAACTAGATAATATTCAGACGTTGCATGACTGACGCCTAGTGGACTAGAGGCGAAGCGCAGGTAGTGTTTTTCTTATGTCATTTTCACCCACAGTATTTTACAGTTCACACATCCAAACGGACTCACTTCAAAGTCGGTGTCTTTCATTCATCTGTTAGCATGAACGCTGAAACAAAATGTCTTGGTGGCGAAAAGGAGTTGGGTCTAGACCTGCTCTATTT